ATGCAGCAAAGTACTTCCCTCTCCAACTATTGGAGAGGGAAGCATTTGGAGAGGACACTATTGGAGAGGGAGGCATTTTGCAGCGTTTTTGATACTTCCCGGATGCATAATGATGAGTTTTTTGCCACTGGACCAGGACCGCCACTGTAACTCATTTCGGAAATTAAAAGAAGCTCCGGGCGTCTCACGTTGATCATCTTACGTCAACGTAAAGTCCAACTATAATATATATTTATACTATGCATAGCTATGTTTGCGGTAATTTCTATTTCTTTTCGGCTTCAAACCTGGTATTTTCAATTTTGCTTGTTTTGAATTCGAACCTAGTGGACTCATACTTCCTAAAATTCCAATACGAATTTTAGGGCTCGCTTTGAGAAAAAAGTTTACTGTTTTTCCAATGGCCAAGAGATTATGGTAATATCTCGTGCTCGGGACTCTACGTTCTTTTTTGACTATAAAATCTGCGGAAGCTACAACTTTCGCAAAGATGATGATAGTCTGTATGCTACATATAACAAAAATAATTTGGAAGGACAGTACATCATAGATCTATAATCAGAAATTAGTTCCAGGTTTCAACAACCACACCTTCCGGTACCTGTTAGATGATGGAGATCGCAGATGTCGGGAACTTCAAAGAAAACCAGACATCTGGACATGATTTTAAAAAAGAATTACAAGTTCAAGATAAAGTTACCAATTAAATCAAAAAGCAAATTTTAGCCAAGATTGGTTGGGTTAATCACCGGAAATCCTTATGACACTATGGCTTATGCTAGTCCCTGCCGTTCTCGGAAGCAAAAAGGTTTCATAACAGACACAAAACCATATGTCAAAGATCAATTAATAATTATTTGTGAAGACGACCAATCTTTGCGATCCTTGAGCCGACGGTTACATCCCAGAACTGCCGTAAAATCAGGTCTTTACATACAAGTCGCGGAAAAAAGTCCTGGGTTTTTCTCGCGCCCACGCTTTGTGCACAGCGCGACCCACGAAAAAAGTCTACGCATTTTCTGGAACGACTAGTAGCTCGTAAGCTTCAAAAGCAGTCATTTATGTATTATCTGCGTATATTGGTGGGAGTAGGCCAATTTCCAGACGAGTTTCAGAAATTCCAAAGAGCCATAAATCATAGTGCAACAAAAATGGAGTATAGCGGCGCGTGAGGGCCTGGAAATACCCGATCCTTAAATAGTATTTCCTAGATTTTCACTTCAGGCAAAACTCATGACTCACCTCGTTGTTTGTATCAGGCTACCCAGGGACGTAGACGTAGCTAGGTTGGGGTCAAAGGAAAAAATGGTAAAGGGGGCCAGGGTAATTTTCGCGGCGCTTTTTACAGGTGACCTCTCATGCGATCTCCCACCCCCTCAAAGAAATGTTTGGTCAGCTACGCCCCTGCCGGGAAAATAATGTGGATTTGTCGCAGCAAATTGCCTCTCTTTGCAGCAGTCGTGTGCGAAATCGTGACCCGCGGCAAGGCGGCGAGTTCAGAGCACGGCAAATGCACATTATTTTTCCGGCGGACTGACACTTCGCTCGGATTCGATGAGCGCCAAGCTTAAACCGCGTAGTAATTTCTGCCCGCCACCCAGTGCTTCCCTCGCAAATTGATTACACTTCAAAATGCAACCACAGCAAATTAAACTGCCAAATGCGACAGTTACCGCAAACAGCACAAACTCAACGTTTTCTGCCAGCTATAAATCAAAGCTTCCATCCTTAATGTAGTTCTGACTTGCACATTAAACTTTGTGAATCAGCTCGATTACAAAACAGCAAAACAACACGCATAGTTCTTCCGGGAAAGTTACACCGGCATCATTTGCTATTTACAGGTTTTATCAGCCTGTCGGGAAAATAATGGTCAAATACACCATTGACCTTATGAAAACTCTGTCGCTTCGAAAGTTGTATCGCTGCCGAGAAAATGAATTGTGTCGCGACAAAATCAAATTGCTTTTCACTTCAGCAGTATGCACATCATTTTTTCGACAGACTGATTGATATGCAGATGGGCTTTACTGAGAAAATTTTTCCGCAAAATTCAGCCTTGCTATCTCTACTATATATATTTCAGTACTAGGCGTTCCAGAAAGTGCGTGCACTTTTTTCCGCCTTTTTTGCGCCGCACAGTGCAAATTTTCGTGTTCCCCGCGCGACGCGATCCTTTTCGAAACATTTTGCACTGTGCAATTTCTAAAAAATCGCGCCGGCTCCGTTGAGAAAAGCCTGCGTCGCTGCGATATTGAAATTGCACGGTGCAAAAGGTCAAATGCACCCCGCAAGAAGGCAATTTTGTGCACAGTGCGGCCCACGACAAAAAGTGCACGCACTTTCTGGAACGCCTAGTATACATATCATTGTAATATGTCATACAGATCTGACTTTACATATAGAAAAACAGAAAGTTGTGGGTCAAAACCTCGTGAAAAACGACGAATATCAGTCTGTCGGGAAAATAATGAGCACTCTGTCGCTTCGAAAATCGCAAGAATGAATATATAGTGTCCCGACAAAATCAAATTGATTTTCACTTCAGCGATGCGATTGGAACAGCGAAATTGCGCTTATTATTTTCCCGACAAACTTAAAAAAGATATTAGTCATCATTTTTGACCAAAAAAATATTGAAAAATTTGAAAAATCGGAAATCCCCAGCCGACAAAATGCTCAACTGCTCAGTCGTGTTTGCCGAACTGTTGTGGACAAGCGATTGGAATTCTTATTTTAAATTGTTGTTTTCTGCTTTTTTAACCCCAAATTCGACGAATCTCACGACGTTTCCCATTTCCATTTTTGGAAGAGAACAGTTTTATTTGGCGGGTTGTGGGGGCTCTTGAAGATGGGTAAAAATAAGAGTCGAAAACAAACGTGTGGTTTTAAAAACGTGACAAAAAACTAATCGAATTATAGCAAAAAAAAATTAAAAATTGTATTTTCAGTCTGTCGGGAAAATAATGAGCACACTATCACTGAAATTTCTGAATTCAAAAGAAATTTGATTTTTCCGGGACACAATTCATTTTCTCGGCAGCGATGCAATTTTCGATGCGACAGAGTGCTCATTATTTTCCCGACACACTGATAAATGACCTTTACGGTCGAGAGAGTACGCGAAAGACGGAGAGCGGGAGAGAGAGAAAAAAAACGTAATGTAAAAGGAGGTCCTGTGTCAAAAAGTATGCAGGGCGTGTATCAGTCCGTTCGCAAAGTCGCTGGAATGATTTCGGCGACGTGCACTGTGCAAGAAAACTCAGGGTGCGAGCGACAGCTCGAAAAAGCCTACAGTGAAGGACCGGATCCAATGGCAAAAAATGTCTCACTTTGCATCCCGGAAGGGACCAAAATGTCTCCAAACCCTTCCCTTCTCTAAGCTAAAAAACCCCGATTTGAAGTGCCCGCCTTGAAGGAAAGGGCGCGCTTTTCAAAGCATAGTTTTTTAGCTTAGAGAAGGGAAGGGTTTGGAGTCATTTTGGTCCCTTCCGGGACGCAAAAGGAGACGTTTTTTGCCATTGGATCAGGTCCCTCACTGTATTGCACTGTGCAAAAAGCCAAAAATTGCACAGTGCAAAGTGAACTTTCGGTTTCGCGGAGTGCATGTCGCCGAAAACATGCCAGCGACTTTACGAACGGCCTAGTATACTGGTATTATATCTTCTCTTAGGCTGCCGAAAAAGTACAGTGGGGGACCTGATCCAGCGGCAAAAAACGTCCGATTTTGCATCCAGGAAGCATCAAAAATGTGGAAAAATGCTTCCATCTCCAGGTGAAAAAACTCCAAATTTCAAAAGCGCGCCCGCTTTTTTGTGGAACTGGGACGATTGGGGAAAAAGACGATTGGGGAAAGGGACGATTGGGGAAAAAGACGATTGGGGAAAAGTACGATTGGGGAAACCGAAAAGTATTATTTTTCTTCCATGCAAATGTCGAAGTTAGGATAATCGAGGGTGCTGATTTCGAAAATCATGTAAAATTTTCCTCTAGTACTACATAGTACTATTCTGATACTATATAGTACGAAGTGAAAATATGGCTTTTGACGTTAATGGTGTTGTTTTGATGCTTAGTACTCTTCAAAAACACGTTTTAAAGACTTGGTGCTATATAGTACTACCTGATACTATGTAGTACGAGGCGTAAAGTTGGCCTTTAGGCGTTCGTGGTGTTGTTCTGGTGCTTAGTACGCCTATTTTTACTTCGTACTACATAGTATCAGACAGTACTATATAGCACCAAGTCTTTAAAACGTGTTTTTGAAGAGTACTAAGCATCAAAACAACACCATTAACGTCAAAAGCCATATTTTCACTTCGTACTATATAGTATCAGAATAGTACTATGTAGTACTAGAGGAAAATTTTACATGATTTTCGAAATCAGCACCCTCGATTATCCTAACTTCGACATTTGCATGGAAGAAAAATAATACTTTTCGGTTTCCCCAATCGTACTTTTCCCCAATCGTCTTTTTCCCCAATCGTCCCTTTCCCCAATCGTCTTTTTCCCCAATCGTCCAACTCCGCTTTTGGAGAGGGAAGCATTTTGCCTCATTTTTGATACTTCCCGGAAATGGTACGTTTTTTGCCACTGGATAGGTCCCCCACTGTAATGAGCACAATGCACGGCAACCCAGGGAGTCTCCCGCCTCCGTTCGGTACTTTTTCCGACCAGTATCGGCTGTATTCAAACGAAATGTCAGAGATGAATGAGCTATTAAACTTGGTGTTGCCCCGACACAATTCATTTTCTGGGCAATTTTCGATGCGACAGAGCCCATTATTTTCCCGACAGGCTGATAAAATCTTTCAATTTGCAGACGAATTTGAATTTTGCTTTGCAGAATTGAAGTCTATTGTTGAGTACATTGTAAAATAGGTTCCTCAATCGTTTGCCTTGAGCATAAAAAAGTGTTTTCCTCAATGATCAATAACTGACACTCTTTAAGTCAAATTTTATTTAAAAAAACAAAATTTCCGTCTGAATTCTCAGTTTCATTCGGTGGTTTTCTTCTTCCAGACGGTGAGCAGAGCAGCAGGGGCTTGTTTCTGAACAAGTAATGGTAAAATACGATTAGAAAAAGTTGGAAAAAAGAATGTTCTTCTCACCTTGATCTCCTTGACGGCGTTGTTTTCCAACGGAGTTCCGCCGGGCTGGACAACAACAACGGTGGGGATTTCCTTGAGCTGGTAGCGTTGTAAGAGACCGCTGGAATGAAAAAAAGTCGATAAAAAGAAAAACTCTCAAAATCAAAATTTTTTGATTTTCCCGAGCTGCGCCCGATGTAATAATTAAAAAGAGATAATTTTTTAAGAAATCTGAGCTCTCGGAAATTTCAGAAACAGGGTTAAAAAACGGTCAACTGTCTCAAAAAATTCGAAAAATAATCTAGGGCGCAGTTCGAAAAAATTAAAAAATTCAATTTTACAAAAAATATAAAAAAAATCGCCGAATTTAGTTGGTGGATTATTCGTTTCCGACAAAATTTAAAAAATAATTTTTTTGTTTTTTCCTAGCTGCGCCCTATGTAAAAATAAAAAATTTTTTTTAATGTCAGCTTTAAAAACCTTTGAAAAGGCAGTAAACAGGTCGATCAACCGTTTTAAAAACTTTTAAAAATTATCTAGGGCGCAGCTCGGAAAAAATATAAACTTTTCATCATCCAAAAAAAAAATCAAAAAAATGCTCATTTAATTGCTCAATTGTGATTTTTGAAGAATAATATTTTTAGTTTGAAAAATGATATTCTCATTTTTTTCGAGCTGCGCCCGTGCCTCAAAAATTTTTTACCGATTTTTGACCTAAAATAACATTTTTTATCAAAAAAGTAAGGCTATTTTTTCAAATGACTATCAAACCATATTCCCTCCAACCTACATGCTCTTGCTGTCCCCATACTTGGTGTACAACCAGTCGGGGCATTCGTTCAGGAACGCCTTTTGCTCGTCCTCGTTGACGTCGTGCGAGATGAACACAATCTCCAAACCCATCGGCTTGCCCGCCGCGTACAGCGCCTTCAGCTTCTCCGTCAGCTCGGGATCAATGTTCTTGGCGCCGAAGAAGAGCGCCACCATCTTGCCCTTGAGCTCGGTGGCCGCGTTGACGGGGTTCGGGCTGCCCTTGCGGAAGAGTTGGGTGTCGGCCAGGAGTTTCGACATTTTCCACCGCTCAACGGAAGGAGGGACGAAAAAGAAAGGTAAGATTTTGAGGAAAATGAGTGAAAAAACAAGGTTTGGAGAGGGTATGCAAATTTTTGAAAATGTCGGAATTTTTTGAGAATTATGGAAATTTTTTGAGAATGATCGAATTTCTAGAGAATTGTGGGAATTTTTGGAATTATGGAATTTTTGGAAATCATGCAATTTTTTGAAAATTATGGGATTTTTAGAAATTATGCAAATTTTTGGAAATAAGGAAAATTTTTATGAATAATATGCAAATTTTGAAATTATGGGATTTTTAGAAATTATGTAAATTTTTGAAAGTAATGCAAGTTTTTAGAAATCATGGAATTGTCGGAAATCGTGTGATTTTTTGGAATTTTTTTTTTCATTTTTTGGATTAAGCAAATTTTTGAAAAAAAGAAAATTTTTATGAATGATATGCAAATTTTTGAAAATAATGTAAGTCTTTAGAAATTGTGGCATTGTTGGAAACAATTTTTTGAAAATTATGCAGATTTTTTGAGTTATGCAAATTTTTTAAGTTTATACAATTTTTTAGAAATTGTCGGTTTTTTGGACATAAAGTTTATGGAAACTATATGCAAATTTTTGAAAATCCGGAATTCTTTAAGCTCTTCCAGAGTTGAAAAAACTAAAAAACACATGAATGTTCTGTAATTCCACCGGTTTCGGCAAGAATCAGCCACCATCGCTGATAAGACAGAGTCTCTTTTAAAAGTCAGCCTGTCACTCAACATAAGCTGTATCGTAACTTTAGTTTTTGTCATATTTAAGCAAAGACTTTTGGCTTTAGGGCATTAACAAAATGTTTTATGAAGAGTAGTTTGTGTTCGGGATATGGAGAAGGCCACAAAGATTCGAAGGCGTCACGGGATGAAGAGAGATAAGAGATTTTTGCCCGTAGAAAGCGATACGATCGAGCGATTGGAAGAAATTTCAGTCCCGTTGGCCGCAGGGGAGGTGTTCTTTAAAGGTCTTGTGATCGGCGAAATTAAGAAGAATTAATTTTATTTTTCTTGCAGTGCGGACGTCACGCTAATTACTATAAGTTGAGGTCGATTTTTTTGATAAAAGAACATATAACTGTTATTTTCCTTCCAAGGGAAGTACTCCAAGTGCGACGCTCAGATTTTCTTTAAATTTTGCACACACGTCGAGTATGGACCAAATATCAATTCCTGAAAGTCTTAGCTCGCGCTTTGCCGGCGCCGCCGAGATATCGAACGATTTTTGCCGCCGAGAGAGCAGGCTAAACGTGGAGAGCGGTCAGAGAGAAAACACCTTATTGGCCATAACTTTGGCAGTTTCGAGCGGAAAAATTTGATTTTTTGTTGAGACATTATCCTTTACCGTTGAAATAGGCATGACACTTTTCGTGCCGAAATTCGGCAAAAAGTCCTAAATTTTGGCCGACTTTTGATCCAAAAGTCTCGGTTGTTTCTGCAAAGCGCGAGCTAGAATTCTCGCATATATATTAGAAAAAATTATTCTAAATTTGTGCCAAGTTTCATGAAAATCTGAGCGTCTCACTTAGAGTACTTCCCCTGTTAACATAACTTTCATTATTGATAATAAAAAGAATTTTGTAGCCAGCCACAAGTAAAAATATATTCTAGATCCTAGCTTGGATTCGAAAAACCGGCAAATTTTTTCAGCTAAAAAATTTCTTTTTTTGCGCTCCTTGGTTTGCAAAGGTCATGGGCGTTTCAGGGCGTTCCGACGTTCTTGCAACGCCGATCGGAGGTTAAAAAAACGAATTAAAAATCAAAATGATCCCTACGTTTTCTTGTGGTGTATGGTAGAAAGTGCATTTTTATTTAAATGTGAAGCTTTCCATTTTTCAACGACGATTTGTTGGGTCTTTAAAAGTGCATGATGACTATGTTTGTTACTGTTTTTTTACAGTTCAAATGAACAGCTTTTATTGTAAAAAGTGACGATTAGACGGGGAAACGTAGGGACCATTCTTAACTCCATTACATCCGTTGATGTCGGAGGGATTTTGGAACGTTGTGTGATGCACAACCTTCCTATAAAAGTACGAGTTTTTTATTTCATTACGGTACATCGCCATTCCACAAGCCTCAGTACAAGATGTACGATATGTCTTGCGAACACAAACACCTTCCCCGCTTCCCGCCCTCACAACAGAAACCTTTTGTTTACCGCGCTCTTGCAGATGTATCCAGACGTTTTCCGCTTTCAGATTCCCACCGTTTCGTTGTTTGAACAACCTTAAAATCCTCGAGAAATCTTCACTCTCAAGAATCGGAAGTACTTCGAAGCCGGGCGCCCCTTTATAAGGCAGAGTGGCTAATGTTTTACTTGTAATCTTCAGGTGATGTGCTGACACGAGAATTGGATTACTGTAATTTTTTGTATTGTGAGAAAATGTTGTTTCTGCTGCAAAGGATATGTGTGGTGTGGATGTGCAATGTTGTTATACGCGTTTGTTCACAAAGTCTTCAAGATCTCAAGCCTGGTAAGCAATTTGGGGTTTGTTTTTGATTGTGGTTCTTCTCGATGTGGCTATAATGATCAATTTTGCAAAGCGCAAGCTAGAAGCTTTGCATAAGCTCTTGAAAAAAATTATGCAGAGTTGTACCAAGAATGGTTGGTTCCAGCGGAAGATGTACTAGATTTTAGGGCAAAAATTGGTCGAAATTTAAAATTCAATCTCCAAAAGTTGATAACTAATCCAGTAGTTGTCCGATTTGGACAGTTCTTGGATGTAACAGTAGTAGGACTCCTATACTTTAACCAGAGATTGCCACGGCTCCGGAGCCAGCTCTTGGCTCCGGCTCTGAGCGGTTCCGTCTCCTAGCCGGGAGCCAGAGCCGGAGCTTTTTGGTCTTGCCGCGATACAATTAATTTCCTTGGCTGCTACGCCATTTTTCGATACGAGATTGCCCATTATTTTCTCGACAGACCGATATGCCCAACTCTTTAAAAATAACAAAGCTTATGCTTTACTGCCCTTAATTTTCAGTAATCGAAGTCCCCGACGACGTCAACCGCAAAGGCTACACATTGGACACCGCCCATCTGGACCTTCTTTACAAACGGACCGCCTTGACCGCGTTGCTGAAGGCGCGCGCCAAACAAGAGCTTCAGCATCTCTCACACACCGAAAAGGTGATCTATCAGCAATGCGAGTCCACGGCCGCTACACCCGTGCAATTGGCCAAGTGTGTGCGGAAGTTGATTCGAGATGGGAGCCGGCAGAAGGCGGAGTACTCGGACAAGTCCACGGAGAATTGGATGAACAAGCTTTTGAGCGTAAATACGGAGACGTTGTTTCCGAATCAAGAGGAGACACCGAGGAAAGAGAGCCCGAAAGTGTTTTCTCGACCAATCAGCGCCAAAAAGGCGAGGCAGGTGAATCAGCATCGGCTGCGGATCAAGTTCCGGCAAGCGCGGAAGATACAGTACGCCAAGCAGGAGGTCGACTTGAAAGCGAGGCCCTATCGCCACAAACGCGCGATAAATGCTAGAATCATTAGTAAACGTAAGCCATTTACAATTATTTTTGATATACGACACGAAACTCACTTTATAACGGTAATGCAAAACGTATATACTTCAGCACCCACCTCCCCTCGCTGCAAGACCCCAACGAACATTTTGAACCTGCGGAGGGTTGAGAAGTACTTTGAACTTGGCAATTACTGTATGAAATACTTGAAGAGCATTGGGGCGAGCAATTCGGAGTGAGTTTTTTTGGACTGTAGTGTATGAGCGACTATATCAGTCTGTCGGGAAAACAATGACCATACTGTCGCTGAATTGAAAAGCAACTTGATTTTTTCGCGACACAATTCATTTTCTTGGCGTCGATGCGATTTTCGATGCGACAGAGTGCTCAGTATTTTCCCGACAGGCTCAAAAGTTATGTTATTCTGTCGGGAAAATAATGTGGATTGAAAAATAATGTGGATTTGAGGACAATAGAATTGTGGCATGCGCGGCTAGCCGTCCTAAATTGATGGGCCTGAAATTCAAGGGTCGACAACTACACATTATTTTCCCGACAGACTGTTTCACTTTATCGGGAAAATAATGATCACAATGTCGCTACGCCGATCGCGTCGTTGAATTGAAAAGAAATTTGATTTTGTCACGATAAAATTTTTATTTTCTCGGCGGCGGTGCGATTTTCGATGCTCATTATTTTTCCGACACACTGAGGTTATATATTTTCATCATAGTAGACAATAAGACACAAATATTTTTCAGTTTCCTCGAAAAGTTCATGCCGGTCTCCTTCCGCGAGCACGCTGCCTCCAAAAATACTCCAGCCGGAGAGCTGAAGTCGGTCGTTGAGCAGCTGGACACTCAAAGCATTTCGTTTTTATCACCAAAAATACTAAATGTGTTGCCGGTGAAGGACGATGAGAATTCGACTAAATTTATGTCCCCAAACTTGTTGAGCTTCCATGACGAGGGGTTGCTGCCTTTGCCGAGACTGTTGAAAGTAAGTTGTGATTTTAATTGCAATCATGAGCAGTTGTAATGATATTTTTCTTCGCTTTTAAAGAAAATTTAAGCGCTGAAGTGGGCTAATAAAAATCATGTTTTAGCTCGGGAATTCGGACGAATGCGAGACACAAGAGTGGATCGACCTCTTAATGGACGTGAGTGGCGCTAGCAACAAGCTCAACGAGCTCTTGGACAAGTTTGACGGCCACATGCAACACGTCTCGACGGATCTGTTCCCCAAAATCAAAGAATTGGAACATCAAGACAAGCAATGGAGACTCCTGAAAGAGTCGATAAATGACGACCAAAAAAGGCAAATTGAGCGCTTCGGCTATGCCAAAATGTCGGCCAAACAAATGCGGCTGGCCTATCGAGAGGATGGACTGCATCCACCCACCGAATTCACGGAGGCAATGTATGAGCGAATGGTGAACGGACAAGACGATGAGCTGCTTGATCAATTGGTCCTGGAGATGAGTGAGATGCCGGCGTTTTCGGATCCCAACTTGTTGAAGAACAGCTCGAGGGCGAAGAGAGATGCACCAGGTAAGCCAGGGAGAAAAGGAGGTTCGAAGTTGGTGTTCAAAAAGTATCAGAAAACATGAAAAAATATTTTTTCCAGATATTTTCAATTATGCTGTCGGGAAAATAATGAGTACAATGCCGCGGCGCCCACGCCGAACTGAAAAGCAATTTGATTTTGTCGCGAGCAAATTCATTTTCTCGGCGGCAATGCGATTTTCGATGCGACAGAGCGATCATTATTTTTCCGACAGATTGACATAAGGTCAAAAAAATGTAAAATACGCCGAATTCTCTACAATTTTTTTTAGATGTCAAAAGCTGAGGTTGATTGCAGAAAAGTTTAGAAACCCCCATATTCCCCATTTTCCAATTTATAAACAGGTTTTTTTCGGTTTGGGATACCTTTTGAAGTAAAAAATTGGCATTTCTGTTACTTCTTCCTTCTTCGGCTATCAAAAAGATCATTAAATATAAGACTCTAAAGCAGGGCCTAATTTAATATCTTTCATATCTAAATCTCCCTTTTAGCTGCCGAAGCCGTCGGTCTCATGGCTCCGTACGCCTTGAGCAATCAAGTGGGCCTTCCGTCTTTCCTCGGCAACCTCATCTTGTCGCCTCATGCCTTCATCAACGAGCTCTTCAATCCCCGCTTCCTCGGCTCCGATATTATCTCTCCCCGTGCTTTCGTCGCCACAACGTTGTCCCCATTCGCTATGGTGGCCCGAGTGCTGGCGCCAGCCGCATTTCGTGTCCAAACCTTATCGCCTCAGGCATTAACCGCGATTGTGTTGACTCCGGAAGCATTTATCGCCGCAATTTTATCGCCGAGAGCCTTGGAGGTTCGCGTTTTGTCGCCGGAGGTGATCACTGTGGGAGTGTTGAGTCCGAGTGAGTTTTGAAGGCTCCGTGAAACACAAGAGACATCAGAAATGCGCAGACAGCGACGCTGAGCTTTAAAAAAACTTGGAAAAATTTAGTCGCTATTCCCTTTCTCCGCTCTGCGCTCTTTATGAAAATTAATTCCCGGAAAATAAGAAAAAAACGGCTTTTTACTTCAGCGACACATCGGTGATTTTCTGTGCTCATTATTTTCCCGGCAGACTGATAAAAAAATTTTTCTGGGTCTTACGTCTCTCTACTTTTAGGTGCCGGAGTTGTACGAGTCCTATCACCGGCAGACTTCAGTTGCTTCGTTTTGAGTCCGAATATCCTTGGAGCCAACTTTTTGAGTCATGCCAAAATGAACATTGAGGTAAGTGCAGAAACGATTGGCCTTTCAGGACGTCTGTAGCGATAAACCCAGCCTTTTTCGAATAAAATACCAACTAGTTCGTTTCATTTTTGGCCAGAAAACGGAACTTTTTTGCTGGAGTTTTTTATCCTTCTTGGATCCAAGACTTAGCCTTTTTACAGTGGCGGTCCTAATCCAGTAGCAAAAAAAGTGCCATTTTGCATCCGGGAAGTATCAAAAATGTGGCAAAATGCTTCCCTCTCCAAATAGAAAACTTCGTTTTGAAGGGCGAGTCCCTTTTTCCTCATAAAAAGAGCGGGCGCGCTTTTGAAATCTGAGTTTTTCACTTGGAGATGGAGGTATTTTGCCACATTTTTTGATGCTTCCTGGAGGCAAAATGGTACGTTTTTTCCACTGGATCAGGTCCCCCACTGTAGTGGCCGAAAAAGTCCGCTACTGACAGTCGAGATACATATTTTATCATCATTTTTAGGTCCTATCCCCAAGCATTTTGGTAGCCGACGATGGAATCGGATAATTCCGCACAAGCCTTTTCCGCAAGTCGACAAAGTCCGTACGGGTATTCGGAATAAAATATCAGTCGATTGAGCAGAGGGATCAGAATAGACTTGTATTTTTAGCGGTTGTCTGTATACATATATAGTTATTAATAATAAAGTAAGCGTCAATCAAGGGCTTAGCTTTGGAATTGCAAAACAGCTTTAAAAAACAACCCTAATGCGTTCTCAGAGCGCAGCATCTAGTTCCCTATGCTCCTCTAATCTCCTCAAAAGGCCTTGCAAAATAAGGGATTTGCATTGAAATTTGGAAACTTTGTAATTGCCCCAAATTTAACCGTCTCTCATTCGGAGCGAGTTAACGGAATATATAAATAATATATTCACCGAAAGTCTGCAGAACGAATTTCCAGGTACCAAAAGGGTTATTTCTTGTCGAAAATACCACTTATTTGCAACGTGACTCTTTAGCCCTAATTTTAATTAAGAAATTATTTGTTATATACAGGGTTTGCCTTACGGGGGGCCGTTGTACAGAGTTTGCACTATATTTTTTGTCAGTCTGTCGGGAAAATAATGAGCGCAAAGTCGCTGCGCCGATCGTGTTGCTGAAGTGAAAAGAAATTTGATTTTGCCGCAATAAGATTCATTTTCTCGGCGGTGATGATGTTTTCGATGCGACAGAGCGCTCATTATTTTCCCGACACATTAATATAATACCAGACAGCAAATTTCCCGAAATTTCGAGTCTGACTTTTTGGCCTTGCTAACCTCTTCGCAGCAACGGCTAACCGTTCAGCGGAGCGCAGGTCACGTAAAAAATGAGTTCGTTGTATGTTTGTAGATAGATTTTGGAGGGTGATTTTACCCGTCATAGTATATTGCGACCAGAGATTGCCACGGCTCCGGAGCCGGCTCTTGGCTCCGGCTCTGAGCGGCTCTGGCTCCGAGCCGGGAGCCAGAGCCGGAGCCGGAAATTTTGGGGTCGGCTCCGGCTCCCGAGTCCAAAGTCGGAGCCAGGCTTCCCAGCGGTCAGAAAAATAAAAATTTTGTGATCTTGTTCAACTAAACTGCTTGAAAAACACTGCGGAGGATGTGGCTTGACTGCAAAAACGTTGGCTATATGATCTCTGGCACTAATAACTTTTATTTTTGGAAAAATATTTTTAAAAAAACATTTTGCATAGGAGCCGGGTTTCGGAGCCGGAGGCCTTTTTAAATTTTGCGCGGAGCCAAGAGCCGGAGCCGGAGCTGCAAATTTGGCCTCGGCTCCGGCTCTGGGAGCTAAGAGCCGGAGCCGGAGCCAAAATTTTGACCGTGGCAATCTCTGATTGCGACCTCTAAATTTGTTTGTTATAGACAGATATTGCTTTATCAGACCGTCAAAAAAACAGTGGCGGGGCGAAAGATTTTACTGCAAAGAGCAGCCACTATTTTCCCGACAGACTTATTATTTATGTATGTAGACCGCGAAGGTTTATCTTGACCCTTCATAGCGTCTTACGACCTCTGAACTTGCTCATTATAGGCCAGCTTTTGCTTTATCTTGCATCCTGTAAAGGGTAATCCTCCGCTATCTCCAAAGATCCCCTTTGTTGACCATGCACTTACCACACCTCCTGCTCACCACACCTCTTTTTTTCACCTGTGCCGTCCAAAAACTGTTCGTGTTTACGCCGTTGTCGTGCCACACGTTCCTCACCAAGTTCTTGGTATGAGTTCTGTAGGACCGGTAGTTCTCTCGCATGGAGAAATGCCATCCCTTGCGAATGTCACGTTTTTGTTCCAGGCCCAAGGGAAGTTGCGGATAATCCGGTCTTAACACTTGGCATTTGCCCGTCAAGGCCGATGGCTGACAGGGAATATGAAATTGCCGAAATGGGCCTTCAACTGGCGCCAGAGCGCTCGCCGGAACACAGCGCCGCTTCTGAATTCGGGAATTTAATGGATCCGAATGGCTTTTCCGTGCTGATCGAAAAAGTCGTGGCCAACATGGCGAACGGAGGATGCAAATCGAGGTAAGAGAGAGGCTTTTTATGTGCTTGTCTTCTTGGGATATTGCGGAACTTTGTTTTGTCAGACTGTCGGGAAAATAATGGTCGCTGCGTCAGCCGTGTCGCTGAAATGAAAAAAATTGGTTTTGGCGCGACACAATTTCTAATTTTCGCTCATTATTTTACCGACAGACTGATGTAAGGCTGGGCAATAATTTTCCTGAAATTTAGAGTCTGAGGCCTTTGGAACTTTTTTGCAGCTACTCTCAAACCGGAAAATAAACTTAGCCTGTCGGGAAAATAACGAGAGCAAGGCCGCTTCGTCAATCGCTTGCTGAAGTTTGGATCAATCTTTTGTCGCTATTTTCCCGACACCCCAAAAAAGGAGGTGAAAATTTGTCGGGGTTCTGTCTTGCCGTTACCCTGATCCTTCGAACTTTCAAGGACGAGGGGAATCGGTGAAAAAAATACTGTAGAAAAATAGAATAAGTACTAGTTGATCATGCAAATCTCCTGTCATGACATAATTCCACCATTACCATATTACCGAATTGTGGTTACGTTCTAGCTAACAGTTTTTATGGCTGAAAAGACACCTGGCCCGTGGAAGTTTCTGCAAAAATTTTTATGATATTACGGCCGAAGGTTAATCCAATGGTGACTCGTAAAGAAAAACATGGGATTGGCTTGCTCAACCCTTTTCCTATTGGAGTTTTAATCGTCGTATTAAATCGTTAGAGCTGGTTGTCTATGTAATGATGAAACCTTTAGTTTTAAGATCCGTTTAAAAGCTGATTTGCCGAAAAAATACCGTAGAACAAACTGAAAAGCATTGTTCTTCTTGTTCTTCTATTTTTTTGCCAAACCAAAGCGCATGATAAAGATTCTTATTGAAAAATTTCGAGCAATGTCCGGTATCATCAATTGCGGCTTCACCCAGATGCACCTTGATGCCATCGTTTCTTCGAAAAATGAATAATTTTTTCGGATTAAACAGTCAAACCTATGTAACACACCTCTAAGGCTTTACATATGACAAAGAAAGGTTTTTGCGTTGAAAGGGAAGTACTCCCAGTTCGGCTCTCAGACTTGGAGCGTCGCTGTTTTTCCAACGGAATGATGTTAGTGCTCTAGCGAACACAAAAATATGTCGACGCCAGTTTTTCGATTAGGGCGTCCACTTTTTTTTGCACCGAAAATTGCAATTTGGGAAGAAAGATTTTTAAATTCTTATATGACCACCTTTAAAACACGATTTTTGAGTCACTGCGTCAGCCAGTAGTGTGGCCCGGTCTTAGGAAAAAATCGATTTTGAGATTTTTGGCTTAAAATAGTCGGTAGCACTTGTGGAAGAAAAGCGAAAAATATTTTTTCCCAATTTTGCCCGGAAGGCATATTTTTTTACAAAATACGTTTTTACACTTCAAAGCCTCTGGAGGCCGATGTGATCGGACCACAGAGATTAAACCGGGCATACAGGGGTTTTTGATACCCAGGAATCTGAAAATCGTAGCATTTTTACCGTCAGATTACTGTAACATGGTCATACTGTAATCCGGTCGATAAAAATCGACGATAACTTCTTTAGATCAAAAATGCCACAGGATTTTATTGCAGATTCGGAATCAGCATAAAATTCTGCTTCGGATACATGTAAAATATGTTCAAAATTCCGTGGCCCAACCTCTGTAGTATAGTGGTTGTGCGCCAGGATTATCAATCTGGCGACCCAGGTTCGATTCCCGGTGGCTGCAAATGGCAGAAAATGGACTATAAAAGGGCGGAAACTTGGAAAAAAGGGAAAATAAATTACAGAAAATTTATTTTATGCTACTTAGGACCAGTTTAAAAGTCTTTGCAAGAATTCCGCATAAAATACGGTTTTTATGGAAAACGCCTCACAGCATTCGTAAGATCGCCCAAAATGGCAACTAAAGAGTTGTGGTGAATCTACATAACGCTTGCTGTCCAATGTTCATCATATCCGCCGAGGAATGCAATATAAAACAAAACAAAACAGTTATTTAATTTTCAGATGGAAGCACGCATGTTACAGCCCCGTAGTTTAGCCTCTGTTCCTTGCTAACTGAGTCTCCATGTAGATTTATCATTAGAGCGTCCACGCGCTCCGTTTTTTGTGGGATACGCAAGACGGCCTAAGTTTTACAAGCTGTGTGATCCCGGTGCTGTTAGGGAATCTTATATGACTTTTTGTGAATCTTATACGACTTTTTGGTCAATTATTGTTCCGTTCGATAAACCTCGGCCGCAGCTCGCCTTTTCAAAAACCCAAATTTGAAAGAAAACCCAGGCTATCCCAAAAATTTAACCAAATAAACAGAAATGGACTTATTTTCGTAGTAGGAAGCCTCAGTAACCTCTTCTTTAAATTTTAACCAGATTGCTCCACTTTCCGGCAAGCTATAAGGCGTTTTCCATAAAAACCGTAATTTATGCGGAATTCATGTAAAAAAATTCTTAAACTACTCCTAAGTAGCATAAAATAAATTTTCTGTAATTTATTTTCCCTTTTTTCCAAGTTTCCGCCCTTTTATAGTCCATTTTCTGCCATTTGCAGCCACCGGGAATCGAACCTGGGTCGCCAGATTGATAATCCTGGCGCACAACCACTATACTACAGAGGTTGGGCCACGGAATTTTGAACATATTTTACATGTATCCGAAGCAGAATTTTATGCTGATTCCGAATCTGCAATAAAATCCTGTGGCATTTTTGATCTAAAGAAGTTATCGTCGATTTTTATCGACCGGATTACAGTATGACCATGTTACAGTAATCTGACGGTAAAAATGCTACGATATTCAGATTCCTGGGTATCAAAAACCCCTGTATGCCCGGTTTAATCTCTGTGGTCCGATCACATCGGCCTCCAGAGGCTTTGAAGTGTAAAAACGTATTTTGTAAAAAAATATGCCTTCCGGGCATATTTAGACAAAACTATTTTTAGCTTTTCTTCCACAAGTGCTACCGACTATTTTAAGCCAAAAATCTCAAAATCGATTTTTTCCTAAGACCACCGCTGGTGCCCTGACTCAAAAATCGTGTTTTAAATGTCCCGGGGCTTTGCAGCTTTTTGTCCTCAATGAAAAGCGAAAAAAGCAAGCGCAAATTTTTGTGTCATTTGCAAGCCCGAAAAATAATAAAACATGAATTTTCAAAAAAATTAAAAGCACAGTTCTGTAGAGGAGAAAAAACTGTATCAAATAGGTGTATACTCTTTACCAAGCAACAAACAATCCTTATAAAATAAAGAAATAAAAAAATTGAACGAACTTTCTGAACAACCCAATAGTTTTATCCAATTCTTGACGTAATATTATTGTTATTTTTTTTGAACCCTTTAGTCGCTATCCACCTTACTATATACTTATACAGAGTCTATTCTTTCCAAATCTATTCCTTTTTGGTTTGCAAACCCGGCTTCCGTCTCCAAATTCCTCGGTTTTAAACCCCCCTTCCGAATCCTCTTTGCCATAACTGTTTTGTTGGGGTTCGCTCTCGAAGAAAAGGTCTTCTCCGGAGCGGCGAGAGTAGTAAAAGCCCCCCGGTTCTCTCTCTTTCTCTCTTTTCCCATAGTTTCCACGTCCCAACGTAGAGAAAAAATTCGGTCCTGCCGTTCCCTTATTTTGGGGTTCTACGTCCGTTTTTTTTTGTTTTTCCCTTTTTCCTGGTTCATTGATTCGAGCGGAATGGGATTTCGAGGCCGCGGAACGTTTTCGCCTCCGGGCAAATTATGGTTTCGGACTTGGCGGACCATTCCGAGTGCCTGCAAACTGAGAATGTTGACGTTTCGAGGCGGGGTTCAGACGGGTTTCGGAAATTTAAGAGAATTTCTTTGGATTTGAGGTAAAAAAAGCTATTTTCGACCGAAATTTGAAATTAAAATTTGGATGTAAATAAGCAGTAGTCGTTCCAGAAAGTGCGTGGACTTTTTTTTTGGCCTTTTTGCGCACCGCACAGTGCATACTTTTCGCAAAATTTTGCACTGTGCAATTTATTTTCGCCCGCCCAAAATCGCGCCCGCTCTCATTGGAAAAGCTTACGTCGCTGCGATAATGCACTTGCACGGTGCAAAAGGTCAAATGCATCCCGCAAAAAAGTGGTTTTGTGCACGGTGCAGCCCACGACAAAAAGACTTTTTGTCGCAAATTTTCCGCACGGTGCATTTGACCTTTTGCACAGTGCAATTCAAAGGTCATTTTGGGCAAGCGACAACCATTGCACAGTGCAAAAAAAAAAAGAAAAATGCACGGTGCAGCCCACAGAAAAAAGTCAACGCACTTTCAGGAAGGACAAATTCGCTAAATCGCTGGAGCGATTTTTTGGAGTTTGCACTGTGCGAAAAAAATCAGGGTGCGAGCGATAGCCCAGAAAAGCCTGTTGCACGGTGCAAAAAGCAAGAAATTGCACAGTGCAATGTGAATTTTTGTTTTCGCACAGTGCATGTCGTAAAAAATCGCTCCAACGACTTTGCGAACAGACTGGTAGCATAAGACCTCTAGCAATAAGTAGCGTCCTTTTGACACTTTTTTTGACTGATTTTTTCTTTGAATTTACATATATGATTTTGCCTTGTTTTTTCGTCATCTTTTAACTTTTCCTGGCTGATTTACTCAAAGAAATTTGTCTTGACGCATTTTATCAAATAAGTTATCTTTCGTTGGCAGTCTTTTTACTACAATACATAAAATTTCTCTTTTCTAAAATTTCCGTTTTCCGCTAAAATTCAATTTCTCCGGCTTTGTTCGGAGATCCGTGAGTTCGCTCTTCCTGGAACGGGCTCCTCTTTTTTCTGTTCGGCACTTCCTCATTAAAAAATAACAGGCCAAATGGGGCCAAATTTTAGGTTTTTTGCAGAAAAGAAAAAATGAAAAAAAAACTATGAAAAAAATTTTATTTTAAAAAAATAAAAAATATCCTATACTTTTTTTAAAATCAAAAAATCTTGTTTGAATATCTTTAATTTTCTCCAGGCTATAAACGTCTCATTAGACTCCAAAGCCTAC